AGGGGCACTTTGCACTTTCGCTACTTCCAAGCGTCGTATCGAGCCGTAAAGTATAGGCCCGTGAAATTTTGTGAAGCCACGAAATGGCAACAGCCAAAGTAAACATAAACTAATTGTCAGCTCATGCAAAGCAAGGAACGGGAAGCAGCGAGAGCGCAAAATGCTCCCCCCCCCCTCGCCGAACTGCGCCGAAAATGAGTGTATTCACAATTATCATTCAACTCACCTTAGTGCGATCAGCTGTTCGGCTCGCAACTTTCTCAAAACGATGTTTCAATGATACAAGACCGTTCTTGATCGGAATTGCATCCTTCTTCTCACAGTAGTATTGCAGTCGGGTACCTGCTGCTTGTTGTTCTGCCATGAGCTGCTTTCTGCAAGGTCATGGTAGTTGAACCACTTAGCTGGATATCTTAGAGAAGGGAAAAAAGGGAGCTCTTACCGCACAGCGACTTCGTCCGCCCACTTCTCATTTTCCTGCAGTTGCTTCTCGAGAACGTCGACAAGGCGGCTCACATGGGACTGAACAGGAAAAACATTACAATGTGCTGAGGTACGCTGTATATCACGAAGATGGGAGGGCGTGGCTGCGTACTTCATCTGAACCCGATTTAGGCCGCGTTGGGACCTTTCCATTTGACACAATTATCATGCCTGCCTTAAGCTGGGCAGAGACATGATTACAATGGTACCAAACGAAAACGATGCCTTTTGAGGCACAACGAACGTCACGTCCAAATGAAGCACGGCCACGCTCACTCCATCTCCGGGATATGGGTTGTAGCTGAAAAAGGCCACGGCCTCCACATTTTTTCCCCTGCTCAAAGCTTACGTTTGGAGCGCAGATGACCAGAGTCGCTGGGCTACTCTCGCAGGGTAGACCTCATGTGCGACTCTAGTTGTCTGAGCTCTAAGCTAAGCTTGATTAGGGGAAGGGATGCACGGGCGCTGCCGTGTGGCCCTGCTCAAATATGATAGATCAGTGAACATTTCAGTTATTAGACCCTAGGTCAACAGAAAATGAATAGGGACAAAGTTACCGCATCTGACAGTCGTTGTTCGGCAGCTACCAACCACTTCGGCTGTGTCACGCATTGAAGTGTCCAAAGCAACTGCTTCCTCCAGAGCTAGCTGTAGTTTCTTTCTCACGGTCTACACACAACTCCTGGAGAGAAAATTTTTTTTTTCAAGAATTTCAAAGCCTACTCCACCTTGTGTTCTCACCTTTACTTTGGACCACTTATTCTTGATAAGAGCATGATTCCGGGCCATCCATGTCTGAGCACCAGTATCGGCGTTTTCAAGTGCAGCATCAGTGTCACTGATGTACGCTTCGATCAGTGGCTTATTTTGGGCTATCTGAATCGGAGATGTAGACAGCGGACAACAGCTTGGGGGTCGCCATTATACTTCGCGAATCGAGCGATTCTACTGCGCGACTATATCTGACCGCACTCCATCGGTAATACGTGGACCGCTGCAACAGTCAAAAGCTTCTGTCCTTGATGGGTCTGCAACGGTCCAATGATTAGTGAAGGAGCGCGGTCCTCCATGGCCTCGCGACTAAATCGCTCAAGTGTGAACACAGCCTTTAAACAAGTGCTACCTCTGCACGCAACACAAGGAAATCATCAAGTTGAACTTCTGCCGTCTCTGGAAGACCACCAGTCGGTTTTGTGGTTGCCAACTGCGATTCCACATCTTCCAGCCAACCCATCCATTGCTCCGTTTCCCTGCCGACTTTCTCTGCATCAGCTTTTGCCTTGAATAATCAATATTGCTGAGTAATTTATCAGAAACTGTACAAAATGACGAAAAGATCTTACGCGTTCCATTTGAATGGTCAATGCCTCGAGAATTTCATTCAATTCTCGCCATTCCTTGTTCATCTCGTTCATCTTCTCCAACACGTCAGTGTTTTGATCGTCTCGCAGAAGTCGTTGAGCGGCAGCATTCAGCGTCGACACACTATGGAAAAGCAATGTTATGACTTAAGAGGACCTAAAGACTCAAAGCATAGCACAACATGGCGAATGAGCTCATTTCGCTCCGTCCGGCCCAAGTTTATGATCGTCTATTCAAACATTTCAAAGGACAATGTGGCCCTTATGACCGCCTTAAAAGCCCCGAGCTTCACCAACTATGATGACTCACATTGGCGACGGGAAAGTCTTCCATACAGTCAACGTTCATCCAAATAATCAAGGCAGACGATATAAGCCCACAGTTGAAGGCATAAGGCACGATTATTTGCTACTTGCTCAAAAATAGTAGCAGGGGTGCTATATAGTGGGGGAAAATAATGGGAAAGCAAAGCGAAACGACCAAAAACCTGCAGAAAAACCTTTTGTTGGAACGGCATTGGACGAGCATTTTGGACGAGTTTCCCGCTGGCATCGTGCCAACAACCGCTTTGATAGATACGGCTGCACGTATGTATTCATATATCCATGTAGCAACGCTTCATATCAATTGTACTTCATAAATGAAGCGATAAGAGTACCAGCGTCGATGTGACTGCTCGGCCATTTGTGGGCGGGCGGTTGCAGTGGGCGTATGGGTCGGCATGTTGAAGCTTGGTAGGGCGCTACAAGAGCACATGCGTTGGAAAAGGCAAAGAGTCTGCTCAAAGATGCCCAATTCTGTCATGCTACGCGCATTTATCCTAGACGCGTCGTGAATTTCTCGTGCCACTTGCCTCAGAACATGGGTAGAGGATCGTGCAGCCTCGCTAGAAAGTCGAGTTTGTGCCAACCTGCCTCCTCCATTTTCCCCCGCCCACCTCCACCCCTCGCATCCCATAACGACCCAGGTGCAGAACTTTGTCGGTCATAATGGTTGGAATCGGCTATTTCACGTAGCTCCTTACACAGAATTGTATCGAGCTAATCTCAGAACTAAAGTCCGTTCATACTTCGTTACTCGAGCAATCCAGTCGCGCGATTTGGGATCAAGGAATCGCTCGAAGGACAACGGCATCCAACCGCTTACCGCTGGACCACTTCATACTGTTAGCTATTCTGAAGTGAATTCGTATTTGTAGCGTTAGACGATCAGCGGTGGAGCGCGAGCAATGCCGAAAGTGCGATGGTCGCGCGATTCCCAAATCGCATGCGTTTGAGTCGCGAAGTACGAACGTGGCATAAGTGGGAATATACGGTTAGCAAAGAAATTTCATGACATCACAACCAACCCTGATATCAAAAGGTTTTTCTGAAGCTAAGAGCTAACCTGGCTTCATGAGCATGGATGTCATTCGAGACGACAGTCAGCTGACAACGTTGAATTTCGAGTTGTCGAAGTGCCGGGGCAGCAATGGACAGTTCGTTGAGGGTACCACGAGTTTTCCTCATCCATGCGATCAACTGCTCCACAGCTTCTGATAGTCGACCCATTTGTAGAAGCATGCGCTCCACCTGAATGAAATTTTCAGACCGCTGCTGATCTGCTCCTCTTCTGTAAGTCAAGATCTCCAACCCTTTTTGCCGCAACGAAGTTTTGCTTATCGGCTTTTCAAGGCTATAAAATTTCCTTCAATGTTTGTCCTTCACCACAATCTTTGAAATTCCAAGCCACATTCTGGTCAAAAGTTTCCGCCGTGGATAGATTTGGCAAGAATACCGTCCCCGGGAACAGTTTCTCTCCCTGGACTCAAATACCGCGATCGCCGCAGCGCTTTCCAAGGTATTCAGTATTACGTGGTATTTTTTTATTCGGCTGCCCGAAAAAGTCGGCGCCAAAAAGCTTCGAAATCGAAATCGTGTAGTTTGATGCCTCGGGCCCGCCCCCCCCTTTATCGGGCGCCCTCCGGACATTCTTCGGGGCCTCACGCGTAAAGTGTTGACGATACGAAAATATGCGGAAGTGAAACAGACACTTGTTTTCCGATCACAAAGCGCCAAATGAAGCTGAGTCCAGCGCAAATTAAGCTTGTTGATGGGTTGACGGATCGCAGCAGCCTGATGAGCAGGTGCACCACTGACTATCTGAGCTGCCGTATAGCAGAGTTGTTCCTGAAGCACAAGCAAAATCTATCATGAGCCCATAAAGAAAGGTAAAATCCTGACCTTGTAAGTATGGATTGACCATCATTTCATCTTTGAACAGCCGTGTACCTCTTCAACACACGCAGGATTTCATCACCTGAAAACGAAGGCGGCATTGGACATTATTGAAAAGCACATTCCGCGAATAACTCGAGAGAGGCGGAGCAGTAGAGGAGCCGCGACCATAACCATGCTACTTCAGAGGCGGTTGATAGAAAGGGTAGCAGCAACACGATGGTTGTCGAGCCCGCCCACTGGATATATCGCAGAATCAGTTCTAATTGTCAACTGCTTTACCTTCACTGATTCGGCGGCTGGCAACATTGCGAGTCTCTTTTCAGCGCCCATCCAACCAACCCAGAATACTGGAGAGATCTGCATGGAATGCCATAGCGTCTTCCATTGCAACGACAAGATCTCTGCAAGAAAGGCAAGTCTTTTCACAGCTCAGGCTTGAGACTGGGTGCTTGAGGGGGGGGGGGCACCCATCCCCCTACTCCTAAAACTTGAGAAGATCTACCTATTCTTGTCAGCAAAGAGCTTGGTGATCGTTGCCCATCCGTCATGTACAGCATCCACTTGGGCATTTACTACTGTCTGTTCTTCAGCGGGGATAATTCCAGTCAGGGCAACACCAGCCTGAAAACAGCAGCCACAATGCTCTTATGATCTGATTACTAGTCAGAAAGAGTCTTTACTTCACGTAGTCCAACAAGGCGATTTTCTGTGTTGGCCATGCTATTGGCCACTGTCTGCATTTCAACTTGCTGCAGCTGCAGCTGCTCAGGTTGTCCAGCTGCCGGTTCCACGGATTCCAGTCTTACACGCAAATCGTCTATCTGAAAGCAGAAAACGGTCCTACAGCGATGAGAAACCATAACGAGAAAGAGAAAAGAAGAAAATGAAAATTTCAGGAATGAACGAACCGCTCTCTGGCATTCATCAAGCTCACGCCAGAAACGTTCGGCTTTTGCCAATGTGGACTCAAGGAATCCACCACGATCCTCAGCTTCTTGCTCAATGCTCTTCCACAATTCAGCCAAACGCCTCAGTTTCTCACTCACTTCGTGTCTAGCAGAATCTTCTGAACCGTACGATTGAGTGAACATGGCGTACAGTTTTGTCCGCTACGGATGATGGGATGTGTCAGTACGGCTGGGTTTGGCACACCGCCGGCCCGATCTCCACCAGTTGTTGAATGGGGTAAACGACAACAATTGGTGGAAAACTACTGAGACGAACGACATAACACTGTCTTTTCACTTGCCGAAAGGAAAAAAACGAGCTGGCGGGGCACTACACCCACCTTGCTTGCCACGCCCCATCATTCGCAGCGAAGTGAGTTTTTCCAGTCTTGCGCACACTACTTTCCATCTGTACACAGTGGACCCCATTATAAGCTTCGTCCTAGATAGCCACACCCCCTTTCTGCCGCAAGTGTGATCTACTCTTCCATTACATACATTGTACAGCTGACTGCGCCCCCGACGACTCCGCCCACTCATTAGAGGACTTATCGAGAATATTGCTACTTTATAAATTTATTAACTGATATCCTTTTCCAGCGATTTTTGCGTGTATAGTAAAAATATAGAGAGGATCTAACTTACCTGGTGGAAGCGTAGCTAGAAGTTCAGCGGCGCTTTCTCTCAGTGCAGCGTAAGCAGCCTGTTTCGATTTCAAACCCTCTTTGAGGGCACGATTTTCGGCAATCTGAGTCTTCAGAAGAGTAGGATCGGAAGAAATAGAGGCGTTCTGACGAAGACGATCCGATGCTCCTTGCAGGGTCTGTACAAAGTTCTCGAGACGTTCACCGAGTCCACTGGTTGCATCCACAATACTGTCGAGGGCCTGACCACGTGCTTCAACTGCTTTTCGCATATCGTCATACCTGAATGGAGGAAAAAGTCCATCTATTAATTCCTTCCACCAAGAAACCAGTTCTAGGAGAGAAAAGAACCAAGAGTACAAGTGAAAACAAACTTGGCAACAATCTCATCGGCAAGCTCTCCGAGCTTGACACCATCTTCTGGGACACAAATCTCCTGTAGCGCCTTCACATCACTTTTGAACTGCTCCACAATTGGAACATACGTTAAAATCGCAGCGGAAAGCTCCTTAAATACAAGCGTTTGGGCATGTCCCCTAAAGGCAGCGGACATGGTTGCTGGGGCGGGCTTCTGTCGCCATCTCATTGGTGGAAGGGATGAGAGGGGTGTGGCCAAACACCCTCTCGTAGCCGTTCCACCAATGACGTTGGTGACCACCGCTCACCCACACCGATCGTGTCCATTCCGCCTAAACTGAAGTATCGACGTACCGCGTTATGTTCTCGCTGCTTTCGTAGCTGATGAGGAGGAGTGGCAGTGGTCAGTTCGGGTGCTGTTCGGAGCTCATCATCAACTTGATCCAGCCAGTTGGCGAGGCGATCAAATTCGATGGTTAGGTGCTGGGACAGGGCCAGAGCCCTTTCGAGAATTTCAGTCCGATCCATACAAAGTGCAGTAACCTTAAAAGTGTTTTGTTTAGAAAGGAAACAACCCACAGCCATGTTAGCTGCGGACGCTATGGCGTTTCAGGGGGAGCAGGTAAATTCAGGGCGACGCCAGGTTGTTTTCCACCGATTCTCGTCACCTGGCAGCTTCCACAGCCAGGAAAACAGACGGAGGACAGGCTGGCGCTGCGCCAAACCCAGTCTTCCCCACTGTAGCAGTGAACAAGACTGTATCTGAAAACGTACCTCGTCGACAAGATCTTTTGCATGGTCGCATTGCTCTGCAAGAGCCATACCAGACTCGCCGCCTTCACCACCGAGCTCTCGACAAACCTTCTTCGCTTCGACTGTCATTTCACGAAGGCGACTCTGAACGGATTGTTTGAGAAATAGAGGCGGAGCACACCGGGCTGAATGACCAAAACCTTGTTGGCTGCAACGTCTTCGTTCATAACGAGTTGATTACGAAGTTGAGTTCGAGCGAAATCGGGATCAATTGATGGAGGACCGGCGGCGACCACTCTGTCACGAGCATCTCCAAGCCACTCGAGAAGGAAACTGAGCTCGTCGAATACTGCACGGCTCTGACGGTCAGCAACATCAAGCCGTTCAGCACGACGCGCCACCTGAAAGAGGTCATGAAATGTTGTAATTCTGTGGGTGGTACATCATATTTTGTCCTGCGCTTTTGAGGACAAGTTCAGCAATAACCGGAAGGGCGGAGACGCGGAAACGTTGTGCTATCCTCATTGGGCACGTCCTTCATAGAAAGGCGGGCGCACCAGTGAGGAATGTCCAATAGCTATAAGGCTCCGCCTATCCACTTACCGCGGAATCCTACTTAAAGGCAGTAGACACGATCGCTGGAGACGGGTGTTGCCAGTGTCACTGATGGAAGAGTCGCGAGAGGGCGTCAGGCCACACCCGATCAGCCCTTCCACCGATGATGTTGGCGACAACCGCTCGTCCCCAGTAATCGTGTTCACCAACTTTAGAAAGTTTCACAACTCAAAGCCATTTCCTAGAGAGCGTCTGACGAAGTAACGGTAAAGCACCTTATCAGCGATTTGGTTGACACGTCGGTTCATTTCGGCCGTGCTTTGGAACAGTTCTTCGGCTTGATCTGGGCTGCTAAGCGCTTGTAGCTGCGATGAAACGGCAACGAGGTCGTCAACCTCCGGACGCCAATGACTCACACCTTCCTCCATGGAAAACACTAGCTAAATCAGGAAAATCAGTTTCTGAAAGGACAACCAGATGCACTAGTTGACAGGAAGAGAGCCGTAGTAACACCCAAATGGGGTTGGACTGGTTTCTATGAAGAGGAAATTGCACTTACCCGAGTTTGGGTGTCAAGATCGGTGCTATCGATCTGAATAAGATCCTCTTCAACAGCTTCTACCCATTCCATGACGGCATCGAAACCTTCATGGAAACGTTCCGACAGGGGAATCGCCTTCTCCAGTAGTTGCAACTTTTCGTCAGCAACAAGCATAATGTCCCCATACCTGCAAGAAATTTGTCATCCTTTCCAGCTCACAGCACAAGTTGTACCAAAGGGTTCTGACCTCTTTTTCAGTAGGTCCATGCGGGATTGCAATGGTTGCGCTTCATCGCCGGTGGCCTGTCTGCAAAGTTGCCGACCCACTTCGATGACAGCCGAGATCTGCGCATCCCTCTCCGTTATAGCCGATACCAAATCCTGAGATACAGAAGGTTGAAGATGAGAAGCCAAAGTGTCATGAAGTCGCGTTCATACTTCGCGACTGGAGCGATTCAGTCGCGCGACTGCGTTGCATAGCGATCTATAAGTAATTTTTGGACCACTGTCACAGTCGAAAGAAGTTCAACGGTCCAAAAGTTAGCACTGGAGCGCGGTCGGTCACAGACTAGAAATTCTCAAATCGTGCGAGTGATTCGCTCAAGCCCCGAAGTATGTACGCAGCCTAAGACACGTACTCCGACGATGTTGCTTTGCTCGTTGAGATCGTCAGGTGCGATCGCGATTTCACTGATTTCGTCCATTTTTTGTTCCATATCGCCCAGCCATAGTTCGAGATTATCGAGATCCTAAGAAAGAGTCTTAAAAGGAGTCATGACAGAAAGCAAGGAGCTGGAACTCACGGCAAATAGATCGTTCACAGTCAAAGCCATTTCTTGAAGCAGGTCTTTGGTAATTCGCACACGATGAGCAATGGACTCGTAGCGGCTGGTGATTTGATTCGCTTGCGCTTCCAAGCTATTCGCATCTTCCACGCTCACCAAAGCGCTCAACATTGGAATAATCTGGAACACGACACGATCTTGTTAAGAACATAAAGAGGACCGTCAGAATATGTGTTGGGGGGGGGGGCTCGCCATTCCACATGCCTCATTGTTGCGTCCCTCTCTAATATGGTAACGGTGGGTGCGGCTCCCATGAGAGGTCTCCGGTCAGTGACGACCAAAGGCACTCTATTCGTTATAGTTTGCCGTTAACAGTTGAGAAAAATTTAAAAATGCGAAGCGTTTGGCGCTGACTAGTCCCGATTTTGCACTGCTCTATTTATCCCATTTCCAGACGGCGCTGAGGGGATGGGAAATAAGGGCGGAAGCTCATCTACGATACGATCTAGCCCCTTGGGCCGTACACTTGGGAAGCGCCTCCACTCGCCACTGATTCATCTCATCGTTTGAGCTTCGTCTGCCTTTCTGTTCTGCCCTTACGGATATTATGTACTACCTAAGAGGCACGTGGAGAGCTCGGGCAGGTACAGGATGAGTGGGGCACGGCCAAGATGTAAGGAAAAGTTAGTGTGAGTTAAGCTAAGCGCCGCTGCAGTGGGGCCATTGAAAGCCGGGAAACTTACAGCTAGTGCGTGATCCACATCCTCAGCCTTTTGATAGACTTCATCGTCGAGATCTTTCTGCTCTCTCAGTTGTTCTTCCATTTTTTCCACAGTCGTGGGAATCTTTCCCAGAGCACTGAGCCGTTTTTCAGCCTCAAAACAGAAGAATAGGATTCCATGTGCTTCAAAAAGTTTGTCAAATAATTCCCACCTTGCCAAGCCACGATTCAACGGGAACAACGCCTTCTGACAGCCTTTCTGCCAAATCGACAGCCTCAATGAGACGTCTCTGACGATCGTGAGCAGCCGCCACTAGCTCGTTGTATCTGAATCGAGGAAAATCTGGTATTTACAGACACAGGTGGCATCCTCAAATGGTCAAGACAGCAAGGTTACCTTCTGTTGATTTCCTCTTCGCGTTCTTTCAACGATTTCACTTCGTCTTCAGCCGTAGTCATTGCGACAAGTTTGGCAATCAAAGCCGAAAAGCCTTTCACGCTGAAAAGACCCGCATTAGGAGAAATAAGGCATGTAAGAAGGGAACTATTCTAGCATACTTAAAATCCTTGTCGTCAATATGCTTCATAAGCACATCGTAAGCATGAAGTTGAGCCCTTGCTACCTAGAAGAATACAATGTTTCAGTTCTTAGCATGAGAAACGCTCTTTCTTCCATAACCTGAACAGGTGCATACCCTAGCATCTGCAGCTGGAGGACGTTGATTCTCCATGAGTTCCTCCGTCTCCTCAATCCAATTCAACAGCGATTTGTACGCATCTTCGTACCTAAACAGATTAATGAAGTCACGACATTGTCGTTCAGCACTCAAAGAGGGCAATCCGCAATAGTCGAATGGGCGGAACCCAACAGCACTTATGGGGATGTAGCTCTTGATAGCGCTAAGAACGGCATGTCATTGAGAGGAATGGATTGGAAGGAAGGCGCAAAAGTGCAGGAAGCTGCAATGGTTTGAAGTGGCGACGTCTAAAAAGAACCGTAGACCCTGCGATGGCGCAGGGCTAACGCTAAGGAGAAAAAAATCACACGTGTCTTCGAGATTAGAGCTCAACTGTGACAGCTGACAAAGGCATGTGCTCACCTACTGGATTCTGGTCTTGTCCCCCTCCGCTTTCCTTCCCCGCACAGGTCCCACCAAATTCACTGCATCGTTTTCCTGACAATTACGCCTGATTTTATTACGCTTTCTGTCTCGCGTGTATTGCGGAATCACCGCATACGGCATTGGCACGTCGACGAGATCAGAGATCGCCGGCGAGGGGGTCGTATTCGGTGGCGGAGCGAAGGGGGGGGGGTCGTGTTTGCCTTCGTGGGAACATTCCAGTAGTTGACTTTTGTTCTCGTTTCAGGTGAGCGAGGGGGGGGGGGTCCCCTCCGCCCCCCTCGCTCACCTACTATAAGAGAGAATTTTGAGGGCAGATGGGGGTTGTATTTTGTGAAGATTCTCTCCAACTTCAGCACGTGATCTGACTACCAGGCTATGTCGAAGCGAACGTCTGGGATATTTTATAGAGACTTCTTTCATCTGTCAAAGCTTATCTACACCTGCTTGTCAGCATTAGTGATGACTGGGAAAACTCTTGTTGGGAACACAAAGTCGCAAATGCACCATTGCCTTCTTCCCACCTAATGTAATGGCCGAAAGTCTCCGCCTATACGACTGCCTTGGAATGTGCCTTTTACGTCACGAATTTACCTTCCAAGCTGCTGCACAGCCGAGTCCGCTTCACGTTCCTTTTCCTCAACAGCTGTCGAAACTGCTGACCATGTATCGCACACTTCCTTCATCGTGTTGTCCTAAAATCCATGGGAGTCAGTCTTGGAAAACCACTATCTGGCTTAAAATACCCGTCCAGGAAACGAACCAGTTCCGCAGTGTCAGCACCCGTGCCACCAGTTCGTATGAGTAGCTTACATTCGGACACGAAATCGTCTACCTTAACCACAACAGTGAACTTCACTACATGGTAGAGGCGGCCGGGAACCTACCCGTGCTCCAATCGCTTTCAGCCCATCTTTAAGCGTTTTTAGTTTTTCAGCTTGGGTTGCTGGATCCGACACCGTTACGACAGCTTTCAGAGCTTCAGAATCGCGCAACCCATTTAATTCACCGATTAGTTCGGCCGCGTTCCTGAAGAAGCAATATCTCGAGCTCTCCAGAAACCTGCGTTTTCCCGAGGGATCAGTTTCTTACTCACTTATGCACGGCTTCCACCTCACCAGTCGCTTGTTCAATCGTCTTCTGTCGTTGACCCAGCTTCTTGCGAGCTTTTTCAATGAGCTAAAAGAGCTTTGTTCACAAACACCAGAAAAAGGTCTCAGTAAGCTCTAGAAGAAAACGCCCCTAAAAACGAGCTGATTTTGCTAGATGTCTGAAAGGGAACCACCTTTGTGACATCATCAGCCAATGCCTGATTGTTTTCCATTTGAGACTGAGTGATCAGGCCAGCCTCCAAACCCTGGTTCCATTCGGCCAGTACAGATTGGAGTTTGTCCTCAACTGCCGCCAACTGCCCCTCGATCGATTTCACTTGGTCCTGCTGAGCTTGAAGCTCAGCTATGTTACGTGCCACCGGATCGAGATCGCTCAGCTCCTGTGATGCAACCGATTAAAGTGCGAACTGGCAAAACGACAGGGGACAAACCATGAAGACGGCGTTGGCCTCGTTCTTAACACCAGCGCTCTTTTCGGAGAGTTTCTCAAGGTCTTCCTTCTTCGCACTCAAAGTCGCTTCTAATTCCTGGAGCTGGCGGTTCAATGAACCGAAATCTTCATTGAGCTGAGCCATAGTTTGGTCGATAGCCTCCGCTTTGGATGGGGTCACGGTCTAAATGTAGATGTAAGTGTTAGTTTTAGTTGAAGCATATAGCGAACCTTCTTGAGCTCATCAGCACAAACTGCCAATTCTCGTTGGGTTCGATTCCAGAATCCATTTATTTCAGCAAGTTCTGAATATTGTTCATTAAATTTAAAAATCCTTTCTGAAAAAGAATTAACATGAATCCTCTAAATGCTCACTTGCTACTACTTTCTCAACGCTGGTGAGTTCTGCAGCTCCAGAGCTGAGCGCCTGTCGCTCTCCGTCCACAACTTGACGAGCCTCATCAGCTAGTCGGTTGTACTTTCCCGCAAGATCGACCTGAGAAAAATGCAGCATCACTTGAATGTGGCGCAGTTTGTCGACGGGGGGGGGGGCATTCTGCTTTCCATAGATGTGCCGACCCATCTAGGTAGCCTTTTCTCGAGTTGACACGTTTTAGGATGGTGGCTAGACGATCTTGCACCAGCTTCACAAGGGTTCACAAGTTTTACCAGGGTGAGATTTGTAAACCGGAACTAGGGAAGCAATGGTAGTACAAAATGCCCCCCCCCCCCCCGTCGACAACAAACAGCGCCCTTGAAATTAGTATATTTCGCGCTCATTTGGGTTCTGAGTAATCCCGGGGCAGGACACGTCATGGCGACGAGGAGCATCGCCGCCGTTTATCTCAACCCCACCTGTCTCAAAGCGCAACTACACCTGTCTCCTAACCTTCCATGCCCGTCGACCGGGAGGGAAGGGTGCATAAGGAATATGTGACAAGACTATCGTAATTCGGGTCGCGTGCGACGTCGCGTCCGTGACGATGCCTCTAGATAGCATATGGCAACTATAGACAATGTATAACCAAAAACGGTCATAAATGTCTGCAACATCGTTGTCTTTATCAAATCCGATGTTCCAAATGACAGGCTTACGAGAACTAAAAAAGGCCGCGCCCATGGCCGCTCGCGACTGAGCGGCAAGTCCAGGCCGACTTGACCGTCTTCCCGTACTAATGGGGTAATGTAGAACCTTCAAGTCACAAAAATGATACATGACCAGACCCGGCTAAGGCCGCGTTCATGCTTCGAGACTTGCTAGGAGAAGTGGAAATAGGACAATGCTCGCCAAAGAGGTAGATAAAAATCGACCAACTCTCCCGTTCTCGAAGACGATGCTAGATGCTGCTATGCGTGGTAGAAGTGGGTGTGCGACGCGACACGCCAGCTGTCACGAGGTTCTATCGACCATCTGTACGACGATGGAGTGATCGCTTCATGCTGAGACTTGGGACCAGCAGAGATTAGGTTAGATTGCGGCGTGCCAGAAATGGTGTCGTTGTAGTCGCGGTGAGGTCTGACAGTCGCTGTGTAGGAGACTTTCCCATTTCGCTTGGTGCAACCTCCCATTGTCCAGAGTCGCAATGTAAGAACTATTGTGGCGTAAGGCTGCGTTTATACTTTGCGGCAGCGTAGCGTAGCGTAGCGCAGCGTAGCGTAGCGCTTCCAGCGTACGCCAGCGGCAGTGCCGAAGAGAGGATGCATATCGATCTAGCTTCACCAGCGTCACCAGCGGCACGCTGGCGTACGCTAGCGTACGCCAGCGCGTTTCTCGCCAGGCGTTTCCACTCAGCGTTTTGCTAGCGCATTGGCAAGGCGGCAGGGAAGGTAGAGACTAATGTGCGTGAAGAGAGAAGCGGAACTCGGACGTGTATTGTAGTACGATCGACATATGGCCGTCGGAGACGCAGAAGCGATGTGCATTGTAGAGACTATGTGGCGTCGGAGACGCAGAAGCAATGTGCATCGTAGAGACTATGGGGCCGTCGGAGACGCAGAAGCGATGTGCATTGTAGAGACTAAGGGCGAGAGAGACGCGCAATCGATGTGTTTTGTACCCTCCAGCTCTCCCATAGTCTCTACTCCCCTGCCGCTGCAAACGCTAGCAAAACGCTGGTGAAACGCTGGAGAAACGCTGGTGAAGCTAGATCGATATGCATCCTCTCTTCGGCACTGCCGCTGGCGTACGCTGGAAGCGCTACGCTACGCTGCCGCAAAGTATAAACGCAGCCTTAACGTTATATATTGTGTGACCTTTGCACCTCCGGTCGGGGCGGTTTTTAGAGGGACAGAATGGGCACACTTGCGGTGTTTCTAACATTGGCTTTCTTCCTAAACTGACCATTCACCATTGGCAGAGCACGAGAGCCGAAGATGGGCTCGTTACACCCCCACACAGCACCGCCTCGAGTGACTCTGACATTAACAACTGTACAGTTGGATTTTTGGCCAATCGGTGCAACTGTGGAATAAGCCTCAAAAAACCGGGATAGACCGAATTTTTTTAAAACGTTCCGAAAGTCTTTTATCGAGTAGGCTATCACAAAGGAAATGAAGAAGGAAAACATGGTTACCTTGCGTTGAGCAGCTTCAATAGCCAAATTGATTCGTTTGCTAAGGGCACCACAGTCATTTGCGAAATTCTCAGCGCTTCGAAGGAACTTATTAGCTTCAGGTCCTGGAGCCAACGCGTTAATGCGAGTTGCAAGTGCTGAAAAAAGTTCTGATAGTTGAAGGACACAGACGCAAAAGATGTCACTAAATTAAAAGTGTAGGGAAACAGGTGGGATGCATTTCCAAACTTCGTGTAAAACTGAGGGCATAGGAGCAGCCAGTTCACACAACACTTGTCAATTTTCGCCTAGGTACCCCCTGGCCAAGTAGAAAGCGCCGTGGAAAACGGAATTAGCGTCGCTCTCGCTTCCTGTCTCCCTGACCGAACGCACGTGAGTGTCAGGCTCAATGATGAAACAATGTGCATCAACGAAGCTGTGCAAAGTGCGTATAACACAGGCTAACAAACTTGGTTCTTGATTCACTTAATCGGCTTGCGGTATGCCCAGTGTATGCATTCACGAAGCGGACACATTTGATTTCACGCGCATTTTTCAAGGATGCTGTATCCCGCCTGTTCTCCCAATCTCATAATTTTTTCAGATGTTCACCATTGAGACTGTGCGCATCAGCCATTCGCCGACCAGCCGCATTTTCCATGGATTTCAATGCATTTTGAGACGACATACTGTCTTCATTGGCAAGAACAGAAGCTAACTAAAAGCAAAAGAAAAATTTCATTTAGCCTCTTGCACGAACATTGATCTGAAGAATACCTCATTCTCATCCTGAGTGAGTCCATTGCGGAGTGAATTTTCCAGAACTTCGAACTGCTTGACAAGGTCAAGTACCTAGGCGAACAACTTTGTGATAATGACCCCAACCCCTCCTAAAGCAACGTATTTTCAAATGCACTCACTTTGGCTATCATAGCTTTTTTGTCCTTGACATTTGTGACAGTGGGATTCCAATTACTTGCTAGATATTGCATTTTCATTTGTAGATCGTCATCAGGCACCTTCTTCAAACGCTCTGTCACCATTGCTCTGTAACAACTCAACTTTGTTCTACCAGTAACTCAACAAACGGGAGTTGTAATCCCTCACCTGACATAGGGGAAATCTCCTTCAAGATCATTGACTTTCACCAATAAGGCGTTGATCGAATCCATATGCTCTTGAAGCCTGTTCCGCTCAGCAGATATCGGTGGGGCCTGAATACTCATTGCACGCTGGGATCTCTAACGAGAA